TCTCTCTCTCTCTCTCTCTCTCTCTCTCTCTCTCTCTCTCTCTCTCTCTCTCTCTCTCTCTGTTCCAATTTTTATTGAGTTGAATGAATTTTCGAAAGCAAGCATTTGTTTCACAGAGGAAAAAATATTGTTCATTTTCAATTTATTTTTTCACCTAGAAGCGTCGCATTCTCCCTTTCTTCCCGATTGCGTTCCCGATAATGGAGCACGTTGTATGTGAGAAATTACATATATGTATATGTATATGTATATATAATATGTACATAAAATAGAAATATTTATTCTCAAGAATGGAAAGGGTGTCAAGAATGGAAAGGCCCATTCCTGAGTCCATTGCACCTACCTACCTACCTACCTACCTATCTATCTATCTACCCCTGACACATTTCTGGCTCGGTGAGAAGAAGGCTCCGCCTTCTGGCATCGAAGAAGAGCAAGAGTTAGGCCACAAGATTCGTGCAGCATCCGATTGTCGTCCAACCGCGCGCCGGCAGCAGCCGGTAGCGACGGGCAGCGTGGGTGCTGGTGGGTGCCGGTGTAGGAGGATCCTCGGAGAAGCCCTCCTCTCTTCTTTTCCCCTCGCGCCCCTCCCTCTCGCGTCGCTCTCCCGTTTCATCCTTCTCCTTCCTTGGGACGGTTCTCCAAATGCAAGCGGAGCCAAGAGATCGAGACGGAACGAAAAGCTGTCTCGGAAAGAGAGAACGATGTCGCGATGATAAACAGCTAGAGCGGGGTAGTTGCCTCGGGCGAGTTCTTTCCGATTCATCCGGGATTCGCGTGGCGCGACGCGACGCGGTGCGACTTTGAGCGGCTTTGAGCGTCCTTGTCAACGTCCGGACATAGAGGTGAGGACAAGTCCTGTTGACGGCAAAGCGAAACGGTCTCATTCTCCGTCTCGACGATGCCGAGACATCGGGTATTCGTCGGGCACTCGGTCGAGATCGGAACGCCGGTGTCACGGCGGCGCCCGCTGAAATCACGGATCTTCTTTCAATGAGAAGCTGAAGAAATCTGCTTGTTTCGCATTTATATTATATTTTATATTATACCCACGACATTAATAACGTGTTCGTAACGGAGAGATAGAGGCATAGTTGGGAAAACGAGACTTTCCTGCATCCTGATGAAAGCCCGCTCTCGAAAGCGGAGATGCTGATATACGCGCGGATCGCGGTATAACGATCATATCATCATATCCACGATCGACCTACGTCGTATATCACGACGAAGGTGAGGTGAGATTATCCGTGCAGATTATCCGAACAATGATTTTCAATAAAGTGCGTGTCTTCTGATCGGTCCAAGCGTTCACATTTTCGCATAGGAATCGATCCATGCTCCGAAACTTCCAAGGATAACTATATACTATATACTTATGATGATGAAATTAATCCGCGAGTGCGAATGGTGTCGTCTTGCGTCATTAAATCTTTCGTTACGTTGGAAATTATGTCCAAGGATCGTGCACCACAAGGCGCACCAAGTTGAAGTAAATTTCGCAATATGGATTCACGTGAATAATTTATATTTTTTCGTCACGTAATCAATACTAATTGTAATAATTGACATTCATTGATGACCGCCAATTTGACGATGCAATCGCAACATCACGAGCAACGACGCGAAATCGCCGCTGATAATTGCTGCTATCAGCAATGGTCGGCGCATCATTATCACCATCATCATCATCATCAGCAGCAGCAGCAGCAGCAGCAGCAGCAGCAGCAGCAGCAGCAGCAGCATCATCATCATCATCATCATCATCATCATCATCAGCAGCAGCAGCAGCAGCAGCATCTGCCCGCTGTACCATCGCCCATGCAACAAATGGAAGGTGAATGACAGATAGAAAAAAATATTTTTTTATTTAAAAATTGCGTTACTTGATCTGCTGCTAGTATTCGTAATACGCGGAACGTTTAAGTAATTGTCACTAATCGCGACGGTCAAAACGACCTTATCGTGTGTCTTTCATATATACTACTTTATATTAATTGTTGCATTTTTTGCACATAGAAAATATTCTGTAGGGATGCATCGGAAAGTTTCCGAAAAGTATCCGCGATATCTGATATTATCCGGCACTTTTTTACTATCCGATTGGATAGTAAAAATCGGATATCATTAGTATCCGGGAACATATACGGTTGAAATTTTATATTGAAAATTTACATCATTGGATGCAGACTTCTATTCTTTTCAGCTCACCTTCGTACACAGTTCGTCTTTCCTCTTTTTTTTTCTTTTCACGTTGGAGGTAAAAAAAAAGAAATCGTGCAAGTTAAGGTTGCATTCGGTAAGCTATCAACAGTATCAGCGCTATTGTGTCATTCTATTTTTATTATTCATTAGTAAGACGTAAAACAGGAATAAGATAAAGAGCGTGTTCCGGATTACGAAGCGTTTGACGCATAAATAGAAAACTGCAATTTGCGATGCTGAATTAACGAAATATCTGAAGAATCTCTATCACCGAGAAATGTAGATCCCTTAACATGGTAAATTCATGTTTCAGAGTATCCAAATCTCAAAACTTTTTTGGTTTTGAAATATTTTAGTGTTCTATCATCTTCCATCCATTCGGAAAGACTTTTCAGTACAGGAAAATTGACTTATACCGATAATCGAAATAGATTGTCACCGGAAAATGCTGAAATGCTTGCTTATTATTCATAATGAAAAATATATTAATATCAAACTTTGATTACTAATGTTGAACTATGTATTACAAACAATTAATATTATTTTATAATATAATTATATTATATTAATAATTACATCATTATAATTATATAATTATTATCACTATTTTTCCCTTACAGTCCCTTTTTTTTTTAGACATTGTGACATCTCGGAACCCAGTCGGATATCAGATATCCGATGTTACATTCTTTTCGGATGTCTAATATCCGATAATTTTACGATCCGGTACATCCCTAGTATCCTTTTCTCTCTTTCAAGCAAAGAAAATGTTACATCGTTCATTCTTATCGTTGTTTATTTCGTATTTTCAAGTTACAACAGTTATTTATGATTCAAAAGCTAGCTGATGGAAGTTGATATGTGTTAGGTACATGTGCGAAATAATTAGTAACAATAAGTAGAGTAAAAGTAACGTACTATAACATTGCGAACATAAGCTTTAGAGATTTTTGAGGTATTGGTCTGTTAAGTATTTCTGATAAATCTAAATTACGGATAAGTCTAATTTAGATATAAATCTATAGATCAACTAATCACTAACTGTATATTTTTCGCAATTTTCCTGTATTTAAACTGTAAAGCAGCGATATTAATATCGATGTCGACATCGCTAACAGAATGAAACAGAGACACTTTACATAAAATAAAAGAAATACTCATTCTCATCTCGCGCGATTTAATCGAGAGATATACGCAAGTGACGATACAAGCATCAATCTATCCGTTGAATCGTATCTTTTATTGACTTCTCACAGCCTGTTTGCAAAGCGCCGGAAGAGTAAAGAGATCTCGCAGTCCCAGTCATCCGATGAAGGCCATTTTGCCGATTCATTCGGCGAATTCGATTTCCCCGCGATCTGCTACGATGGAATCGCGCAACGATAGTAACAATAACAATAGTCATCACGGTGATCATCATCCGAGCGAAGACGGCAGGTCCTCCGTTGAAGAATCGAGCGCGAAACGACCGCTCCATCCGGCGCTGCTTGGTGCTGGCGCCGCTCTGGAGGCGAAGCCGCTCTGGGAGGAATTCCATCAACTGGGCACCGAGATGATTGTTACGAAAGCTGGACGAAGAATGTTCCCCACGTTTCAGGTGAGCACATCTCACATTCGTGCAGATATTCATTCGCTCAAACAGACAAATTGACCAGAAATTGATGTGAAAACCTTATTTGCCGAAGCGATGCGATGACATATATATATATATACACTCACATATATATATATA